CTGAGAAGACCAGAGATTAGCTAGGCTGACTGGCTAGTGAGATCTAGGGCCGACAAGTGCTAGGGTTACACCTGCCTTTTTATGTGGGTGCTGAGGATCCAAATTCAAGCCCTCATGCTTATACAGCAAACTTTTGCCAACTGAACCATCTCCCGGTAGTGGCATTTTAAACTCCAGTTTACCTGGATATTGGAGAACATGCCTATTATTCAAACAGCTCGAGACATATCAGGGGTTCAAGGCAAGCCTCAGCTACAGAGCAAGCTCAAGGTCAGTCTTAGCTAATAAAATCCTGCCTCCAAAACAAGCAGGTTGGGAATATAGTTCAGTTGGTGGCGCACTCACCTAGCATGCATGAATCCCTAGCTTTGACCCCTGACCACAGGACCATAAAAATTAGATATGGTGATTGACACCTGTCCTACTACCACTCCAGGTGGTAGAGGCAAATGGAACAGAAGTTCAAGGTCATCTTCCTCAGGTAGACACAGTGTTCGAGATCAGCCTGGGATGCATAGGTCTTTAAAAAAAAAAAAAAGCAAACAAACAATATGCCGGGGCAGTGGTGGCACACAACTTTAATCCCAGCACTCAGGAGGCAGAGGCAGGTGGATCTCCAAGGGTTTGAGGCCAGCCTGGTCTACAAGAGCTAGTTCCAGGACAGGCTCCAAAGCTACAGAGAAACCCTATCTGGGGGGTGGGGGGAGACCAACCATAAACAAAAGCAAACAATAAACTCCAGTTTTTCTTTGGTATTGGAAGTCGTGAAGGGATCCTAAGTGTGACCCACAATGAAAGCAGGCTACAGACAGATGCACACTGCTGCTGTCCCAGAAGGAGATAGTCAGGCTACTCCCACTCAACCCTAAAGCACAAAGGTTGGCAGTCTGTGGAACCCACCTTTTTACTGTAGACACAAGCTGAGCCCTGGATCAACAGTGCTGCCTCAATGAAGTTCATAGTGGTTTTGCCTTCATCAAAAGAAATGCAGATCTGGTCCAGCTGCAAGAGAGAACATTAGTAAGCTAGACTTGGTGGGCATGCCTATGATCCCAGCAGTTGGGACACTGAGGCGGGATTCAAGGTCCACCTAGGCTAAACAGTTGGTCAGTTTCAAAGAGTAAGATGCCCATGCAATAGAAGCCTATGTTCACTTCTTCCAGAACAGCTCAAGCCACCACCCACAAACATAGATAGCTCTAAGTCTACTAGAGTTTGCCAGTTGCCTTTGGGTATTTCTAGAGGGAGGTTAGATCTTTGCAACTCCCCCTAGTTCTCGGATCCTGTGAGATCAAGTGTTTTGGAAGAGAGGACAAAGGACACTGACCATGATGGCTAAAGTTGCATACCAGCCCTCATCAGCACTTCACATTGTGCCCACCTACATTAAAACCAACCAGGACAAATTGAAGCAGAAAGACCCTTTACCCTGAGATAAGGAAAAGGAGACAGAAGAGTACAACACTGCGGGAAGCAAAGACCTGTATTTTGAGATCTGTATTTTTGTTTACAGCCATCTTAAGCTAACAAGTAAAGTAAAATATTTACCTCTATCCCCTCTGCAGGGCCTAGGAGATCAACCTGGTATCTTTTCCTAGTGAGACCTGCAGGCCCCAGGCTTCAGAAACAATTAGCATTTCCTTTGTTAGTCAACAATCACAGACCCTCACTATTTAGGTTCTCAGCTAGGGAAGTCTCCAGACCTGAATTCCAGCAGACCTGACACCCTCCCCCTTGCCCGTTTTGTTATATAACAGCTTCTGAGAATTAATAAAGCACAGCTTGATCAGAAACCCAGTCTTGCTGTCAGTTCTCGTGTCTCTTGCCCTTCCATTCCTCCCCTCCAGGTTTATCAAGGACCCCCATTCATATCCCGCTGGCCAGGATACAAGCACTCTTTATCCTCTGATTGGTGCTGTAAGGAGTTCTCCCTCTGCAGCCCTCCTTGGTCTTTGTGAACCTTGGCTCTTAACCAGTGTTTGGGCTGTTTTTTCCTACTGAACACCTTCTGGTCTACAGAATGAATTCCAAGACAGCCAGAATTCAAGAAATCCCCTCTCAAAGAACCAAACTAAATAAATAACAATAATAAAAGACAGGATGAAAAAGACTTAGTTATAAATAGAACAGTCACTAGCAGGACAAGATATCACAGATACCCTTCAGTCAAGAACAAGCATAGAGGCCTTAGTTAACCATTCAGAAAAGCATGAGATAGCTCAGTGGATAAATGTGCTTTTCATGAAGCCTAAGGACCTAAGTATCTATGTTGTAGAACAGATTCCCACAAGTTGTCTAGCCTCAATAATCAGACTGATATGCATACACCCATAGACATAATAATTTTAATTTTTAGAGTTAAAATAAATTTTTTTAAAAAGTCACAAGGTACAGAACCATGGATACGGCTAAAATTGCTGAGCAATGAATCGTAATGAAAACCTGAGAGCTTTAAACTAAGCAGTGTTGTGGCGTGGCTATATTTTTTTTCTAAGATACGTGTCTGCTTGCATTTTATGTGTGTGTACCATGTGCTTGCAGGTGTCCATGGAAACAGAAGCTGGCCCTGGAACCCCTCAAAGCGAGTTACAAGCCATTGTGAGCTTCATCTGGGTTCTGAGAACCAAACCCAGGTCTTCTGCAAGAACAGCATGCAATCTTCTTCGAGATTAATCTTTCTAGCCTGATTTTAACTTTCTAAAAAAATTCTGTGGGTATTTTTCCTACATGTATCTGTGCGCCACTAGTGTGTTTGGTGCCGGTGGAGGCCACATGAAGGCATTGGATCTCCTGGACCTGAAGTTATAGTTAGTTGTGAGCTGTCACGTGGATGCTTAGCTTGAACCTAGGTCCTCTGAAAGAGCAACCAGTGCTCTTAACTGATGAACTTTCTCTCCAGTTCCCTGCACTCCTAACCCTGTCTCGTTTTAATTTTGAAGACTTGAAGACTCACACTAGCTACTGGAAGATGTCCAATCTGGGACCTTGGATGAGGAGGTTTTAAATAACTAGGTATGGAGAGATGGCTCAGCGGTTAAGAGCATTGCCTGCTCTTCCAAAGGTCCTGAGTTCAATTCCCAGCAACCACATGGTGGCTCACAGCCATCTGTAATGAGGTCTGGCACCCTCTTCTGGCCTTCAGGCATACACACAGACAGAATATTGTATACATAATAAATAAATAAATATTTTAAATAACTAGGTATAATAGGCCCAGACCAGACGTAATGCAGATCACATGAACTGAAGTGACACTCTGGCAGTATAATGGACAGAATTCAAAAGTAAACGTGGTGTGGGCCTTTTTATATCTCTTAATTTCCACCTTTAGTTGCACAGTAAAACTCTTCACCAAAAATAGAGGACTAGAATTTGAACCAAAAATCAAAAGCTCCACTTTAAATAAGACCCAAGAGATCATGTACCATCCCAGAAAAAGGCAAGAGAGTGGCGAGAACAAACAGATCTGGAGGCAGCACTGGGACAGCCTACAAGTAGATGTATGGGCGTATCCTACCACATAGAGTTAACGCCGGTATTTTAAAGCACAAAAGCAAGATGTTCTATTTTTAAGGGAAAGAAGGCTCCACCCCAAGAAGCTCAACATTTAGGAGAGTAAAAAGAAACAGTGAAATAGAAATCCTAATAAGCACTGTTTCAGAAAGGAAACTGTCAGACCAACAAATGCTCCCCAACTGAATTACAAGACATTTCCGAGCATCTTCTGGATTGTGTACAATGAAGACCACTACCGTTCAAAGACAGGTAGTGGAATCAGATGGAATTGGGCTGAGGTGTGAAAAGGCGGAAATGGAGCAGCCAGAGCCTGAAGAGATCTAGACACTAGTGCTAAAAAAGGAGGTGTGGAATGCGGATAGGCTAGATTACAGCCAGGGCAGGGCCACACACTGGGAGGCAGGTCCTTCTGGACAAGCTAGCTCAAGTTAAGAGCTAGCTTAACTTGACGCCTGGGGAGAAGGCATGGGCGGAGCTTGAGGTCTAAGGTAAGAAATCCCTTTCCCTTCGGGGTCCAAATCTCTCAAATACAATTAAGAGCCCAGACATAGAAGGGTCGATTAGTACTCGCAAATAATCAGGAGACTGAGACAGCAAGATTTCGAATTTAAGGCCTGTCTTAGGAAGAAAAAAGGGATTTTTTTTTAAGTTCAGCAGTAGAGCGCTTGCCAAGCTCGTACAGCCCTAGGTTAAATCCCAAGCACCAGGAAAAAAAAGAAGAAAGAAAAGTGATGCTTAATATATTGCGTCCCGAAAAGAAAATATAAGTAACGTATTTGTTGAAGAAATGGTTATCGTCCAACCAAATCGATTTCACAGCTCGCTAACGGGTAGAGACCTGAAAATGACAGCTCCAGGGTAATCTATGTGAAGAAAGTTTCGAGAGGCAGGCTGGAGTAGGGGGAGGAAAAAGAACACGAGAAGCTGAGAGCAAAACACCAGACGGCTACAGACCTGGAGGCGGGGGTGGCAGTGACGCCTGACTCCCAGGATCGTACCATTCCCCCGCCGCCCTCACCTCCTCCAGATATTCGCCCAGCTGTGCCGCTACGTCCACCTCCCAGTTCTTAGTGAGATCTCGGATGGGCTGCAAGAGGTGAGCGAAGCGCACCTCCACATCCTCCATGTCCAGAAAGGGACAAGAAGCCCGGGACCGTACACTGGCTCCGGATAGGGCCAGCAGAATCAACCCGCCACCGGTTCTGGCGCCATTTTGCCGTTCCCACCCAGGAAGTACGTACAGGGACGCGGCGCGCACACCAATGACGTAACGCGGGCCCCAGTTTCAAAGTGGAAGGCGGCCGGGGTGGGGAAAGAGGCGGGCCTGACGGGGCAGGGTCTACGACAGGGGGCGTGGTTACGCTCCGGGGCGGGGCCCTGAAGGACCCGCTGAGACTAAATTTACCGGCCAGTTAGAGGTGAGTTCCTCGGCACGGGGTGGAGCGTAGTGACAAACCCGCCGGATTCCAGCTGGGGCGTATGTCAGAGGCGGGGCTGGGGGGGCGGGGACCAGCGGGCACTGATCCGGTGGACCGCGTAGCGGACATGGCGAGCTCCCGGGTCCCACAGCAGCTTTTCCTGCAGGGTGTGGCCGCTGTCTACACGTTTGCCTTTGCGTCCCTCTACACCCAGATCCCAGGTGAGGGCGCCGCGAGTGGAACACACACACGTGGTATCCTCCCTTCCTTCACCCCGAGTACGATCTCTCGGCGGCGGGTGTGAGGTTCAGGCCTCTCTACGTGGGACTAGGGGACAGTAGTCTGGGTACTGCAGGTCCTAAGAGTTTGGAGGGAGAAGGATGCGCAAGGGTCGGTTTCCCGTGACCGGATTCTCATCTGGGATTAGGGCAGAACCCCGAAGGGAGTAGGAGACAGATTTCTACCTGGACTCCCGCGGAAGGTGGTGACCGAGAGTTAGGGCTTCTGAACCTGGGGTTGAGGTCAACAGTTTCTAACCTGAGAGAGTTAATCTGGTAGAGCAAGCCCTACCTGGGGCGGGAACATCCGCAGGCACAACTCAGGATACGGAGGGTGGCGTTGAGGGTGTTGGGGGCGGGGAGGGGAGTAGAGCGCCTTTGGAGGCCCTGACAATAGGGCATCTGCACTCCTAGAGCTGGTGGTAGGACACCTTCAGGGCTTAACTTGGGCTGAATTTCATCTGGGAAGACACTGACATGCCCTCCCACAGGCCTCTATGGCCCAGAGGGCATCCTTCCTGCTCGAAGAACACTGCGACCCCAAGGCAAAGGTCGGTGGCAGCAGCTGTGGGCAACACCAACACTTCTCTGGGAGGCACCAAGACTGGGGCTGGATACTGCCCAGGCTCTGGATCTACTGACCCTAGTGGGCACCGTGGTAGCACTGGGTGCCCTGCTCCTGAACTCTCTGAGACACCCCCTCACCTACCTGCTGCTCTGGGTTGCCTACTTATCAACCTGCCAGGCAAGTGAGACCCTTAGAACCTTAGCCTCTGTCTAACCCACCCACTGCCTCGCCTGGTGCCACAGACACACGAAGCCTAACAGCTCCTCTCCCTACAGGTGGGCCAAGTGTTCCTTTATTTCCAGTGGTGAGTGACTCCTTCCTGAGCCTGGGCTGGGGATGTTTGTGACTCCTGGGAGGACCTTGTGAGGGCAACAGCCTTACTGAAGAAGAACTGTTCATGATCTTTCTTCTCCCCATAGGGATTCCCTGCTGCTGGAGACAGGCTTCCTGGCTATACTAGTAGCCCCATTGAAGAAGCCTTCCAACTACAAGGCCCCCCAGGGTGGACTAGCAGGGGCCTTACCCCATGAAAACCTCCCATTCTGGCTCGTGCGCTGGCTGCTGTTTCGACTCATGTTTGCCTCTGGTGTGGTCAAGCTGACCAGCCGCTGCCCTGCGTGGTGGGGACTTACCGGTGAGAGCCTGGGCCTGAAGCCGGGATGGTCTGGAGGCTCTAATCAACCCTGACCCCGACCCGTTACCTGCAGCTCTCACCTACCACTATGAGACACAGTGCCTGCCCACGCCAGCTGCCTGGTTTGCCCACCACCTGCCAGTCTGGCTGCACAAGCTCAGTGTGGTGGCCACCTTCCTCATCGAGATCGCAGTGCCTCCCCTGTTCTTTGCTCCTGTTCGCCGCCTACGGTTGACCGCCTTTTATGCTCAGGTGGGTAGAAGAGAGCGTGGCCTTCACCGCTGGCCAGCAAGTCTTGCTGGGGGCAAGCCCTGGGAATGGTCGTCTGACACGGGTGCCGTTGGGAAAGCATTGCAGGCAGAGGGATGTGTTACTCAGATCAAGGCTGCATGGAGCCTTTGTGAAAATGTCAGCCAGCGGGTTAGCAGGGCGCAGGAAGACCAGCCCGCCGTAGAGCTGATTGCCGACCTTCCCTGCAGGTACTATTGCAAGTCCTGATCATCATTACTGGTAACTACAATTTCTTCAATCTGCTAACCTTGGTGCTTACCACTTCCCTCCTGGATGACCGGCACCTGTCTGCTGAGCCTGGCCTCGGGAGCCACAAGAAGATGCCTACCTGTGAGTGTCATCCTGTCCTGACAACCAAACGGATGACATCCGCCTAGTATTCCCAAAGAGTTCCTCCGCCCCAGCCCCTTGGCTGCAGATCCTCAGCCAACCTGTGACTGTCCTGCCCCTAGCCTGGCCTAAGGCCCTGCTGACCATGTTCTCCGTACTGCTGGAACTGACTGCCTATGGGTTGCTGGCCTATGGCACCGTGTTCTACTTTGGCCTGGAGGTTGACTGGCAGCAGCGTATCATCCTCTCTAAAACCAGTAAGTGCCAGCTTGGGGATCTAAAGAGAAGGACTGGGTCAGCCCCTAATCACAATCTCCTCCCTTGGCAGCCTTCACCTTCCACCAGTTTTCCCAGTGGCTGAAGATGGTAACTCTGCCTACGGTGTGGCTGGGGGCAGCCTCCCTGGCCTGGGAATTGCTTATTGCCCTCTGGAGGTATGTATGTATCTGAAGAGGCAGGGGGAAGATGCTGCTTTCAGCTCAGGCGTGGCCTGACAATACTCGGGCCCCCTGTCCCCAGGTGGATCCAGGTGCAAGGATGGCTACGGAAGATCTTGGCCAGCATCCAGCTCTCCATCCTGGGCACTGCCACAGTGGCCATGTTCTTGATAAGCCTAGTAGGTACCCCTATGGAGAATGGGGCTGTGGGACGATGGGGCGGCACTGAGCTGTTGCCTACTTGCTTGCAGGTACCTTACTCCTATATGGAGCCTGGGACCCACGGGCATCTCTGGACTGGAGCTCATCGTCTGTTCAGTTCTGTGGAGCATCTACAGCTGGCCAGCTCGTATGGCCTCTTCCGTCGGATGACTGGTCTGGGTGGGCGGCCTGAAGTGGTGCTGGAGGGCAGCTATGATGGACAGCATTGGACCGTGAGCCTTCCCAAAGGATGCTGGGGTAAAGGGACCAAGTCCAGCCATTCCAGCTAACCACATGTCCATCTTTCAGGAGATAGAATTCATGTACAAACCTGGGAATGTGAGCCGACCACCCCCTATCGTGATACCCCACCAGCCACGCCTTGATTGGCAGATGTGGTTTGCAGCCCTTGGCCCACATACACACAGTCCCTGGTTCACCAGCCTGGTGCTACGTCTCCTGCAGGGCAAAGAGCCAGGTGAGGGATAGGCTGGGAGAAGGGCTGGGTATGGAAGGACAAGCTCAGAACCATGTTAACCTCTTGTCCCCTGCCACCACAGTAATCCGCCTGGTGCAGAACCATGTTGCCAAGTACCCCTTTCATGAGCAGCCACCCACCTACGTGCGGGCCCAGCGCTATAAGTACTGGTTCTCAAAGCCTGGGGAGCAGAAGTAAGGCTGGGGTGATGGGTGGGGTGCCAGGCCTGGGCTGTAGCCACATGCTGACTATCCAGTTCTGTTACAGCCAATGGTGGCACCGCCAGTGGGTAGAAGAATTCTTCCCACCTGTATCCCTGGGGCACCCAACGCTGGAAACGCTGCTCCAACAGTTTGGACTTAAGGTGTGAAGGAGTCAGCTGGGCTGTGGGAGGTAGCAGGGTGCTTGCCCGTTGCAGGAGTAAATCTTATGGGCTTTTCTTGGTTTTATCTCCATAGGATAAGAGTCCACTCCGGGCCCGAAGCTCAGGCAATGCTCTGGCTAAGACACTGAGCTGGGTGCGCACGCAGCTGTCTCCTCTGGAGCCTCCCATCCTGCTATGGGGGCTTATGGGAGCTGTGGCGACTGTCAAGGTTGTACAGACCCTGCTTGCCCCCCGCCCACTCCAGTCCTCAAAACCGTCTAGAGAGGAAAAACGTAAGCAGACTTCCAAAAAGGATCCCAGAGCTGCCTCTGAGCGGGCTGCGGTAGCCCCCAACAGCAACAGCAGTGACGCTGGGGCCTCCCGGAGGAAAAAATAGCTTGAGGTGCCGTCAGCCTGTGTCCTGATAGTCAGATCTCAGCATCCCAGCCCATCGCATGTCACCGCGCAGCCACTGTGACTTAGGCAGGCCTGCCAGGGCAGATGCAGCTTGAAGTGCCGCCCCTGAGGACCGCTGGTGTTACCTTGAACCCTGCTGTCCCTCTGCACCAGCCACGTCTTCCTCGTCTTCCTCTAGTCACGTTCCACTGTGTTGGCAGACAGCCCGGAAACTGGCAGGTAACCTCGCTCAGGACTTTCCTGGAACACTGTAATCAGTGCACCTGTGGATGTAGAGGCCTGAGTCTGGAGCCCTATCCAACCCCACTGGAGGGGATGAGCTGGATTTGCTGAGGCTAGGAGCCAAGAGAAGTGGGCCCATGGGATGGTGCCTACCTGCCCCTGAGACTGTACCAATAAAGACACTGTTTTGTACATACCCCTTTGCTAGTGGTTTCTTCCTTCTAGAGAGGCCTGAGGACAGTTGGCACAGCCTAGACTGGTTACTAACACAGCTACCCCTCCTTATCACTCAGTCTTCTCCATAAGCTAAACCAAAAGGCCTGCTTACAAGAAGCCTTGGTGTGGCACAGCCTGGCAGACCTATACAATGAGGGCTGTGAGACCAATGGAGGAAGATGAAGCTGGAACCACCTAAGGGCCAGGGAACTTTCCAGAACGCATCCCTCTCCACCTCCTCCTGCTTTACTTCCTGGTCTTCAGAAAGGTCAGAGTGTGAAGAGGGTGACAGAGGGGAAGAATACTAGATGGTTGTATTAGCAGAGGTGCCCGACCTTGGACGGGAGAAAGAAGGTGCATGTGTCCTGGGAAGAGGTCAGAGGGGAGCTGGAGTCCATTTCTCCAGGGTCAAGCTGTCAGTCCCTCCTTCCCTGGGCACCTGCAGCACAGCAGCCTTTATCCCAACTCAATAGTTGATCCACACCTTTTGTTCTCCCAGATTCAAACACATTAACTGGCTGGCAAGCCCAAAGATCCTCCTGTCTATTCATCCCCAACACTGGGATTGTTGGCTTGTACTACCAAGCCAGTTTTTGTTTGTTTATTATTTTGTTTTGATGGGGTGTTTTGTTCTTTTTCCAAGATGAGTTATCTGTGTGTAGCTGTGGCTGTCAGAGATCTGCCTGCCTCTGCTTCCCTAGTGCTGGGATTAAAGGCGTGCGCCACCACCATGCCTGCCTGGCCGTGCTCAGTTCTTTTACATGTGTTGTGGAGACCAAAATTGGGTTCTCATTCTTGAGTGGTGAGCACTTTTCTGACTAGACCATCTTCCCATCACCTTAACCATTTTTAAAGATTTTGCTTTTATTGGTTTTAATTGCATTTATGCACACGTAAGCACATGCCAGAAGCATCAGATCCCCTGGAGCTCCAAACAATTGAGAACCCCCAGGTGTGACTGTTGAAACCAAACTTGGATCCTCTGCAGAGCAGCATGCACTCCTAACTGCTAAGCCATCAGCGTTTGGGGGGATTTTGTTTGTTCGTTTTGGTTTTTTTGAGACAGGGTTACTCTGTAGCTTTGGAGCCTGTACTGGAACTAGCTCTTGTAGACCAGGCTGGCCTCAAATTCACAGAGATCCTCCTGCCTCTGCCTCTGCCTCTGCCTCCCAAGTGCTGGGATTAAAGGTGTGCACCGCCAGCACCTGGCTCCCATCAGTGTTTTTAAGTATATGTTTTGTGGCATTAACTACATTCAAAATATTTTATAGCGATAATCTCTTGCCATTGTTTGTAGAACTTTCCAATACACCAAAGAGAAACCCTGTATCTATTCAACAGTAATTCTCCTAGTCCCTAGCAACTTGTGTTCTGTGGTTTTTAGGATTTTTTTAATTCTGGATACCTCATAGTAACCAAACTATATCTTCCTTCTGTCTCTTTTTTTGGGGGGGGGTCTTCTTTTGCATCTCCATCCATATTATATTTTCAACCTCCATCCATGTTATAATGTATCTCGAAAAACCAAAAAAAAAAAAAAAGTATCAAAGTATCATTCCCTTTTTTTGTTTGTTTGTTTGTTTTATTTTCCTGAGACAGGGTCTCATGTAGTCCAGACTACATCCTGTCCTGAACCTGTCGCCTCTGAAAGGGAGCAGAGTGTGCATGGAGGGTATCTGGGCTCCCGATTCTGTCTGCTGAAGGGCCACGTCAGGCCTTTCTAGGGATTGGTAGCTAAAGATGGCCTTGGACTTCTCTAATCTACTCCTACCTCCCAAATATGGGGATTACAGATGTGGTCTACCCATCTGTTTTGGGAGGTTTGTTTTATTTGACTGGTGTGTGTATGTGTGTTTCTTTGTTATTATTGGAGTTGGTTGGTTGGTTGGTTGGTTGGTTGGTTGGTTGGTTGGTTTTGAGACAAGGTTTTGCTATGTAGCTAGCAACTGAACCAGAAGCTACTATGTAGTCCTGCTAGTCCTCAAACTTGCTGCAGTCCTCCTGCCTCAGCTTCTCAAGTGCTGGGATTACAGCATGTGCTTCCTCACCAGGCTACATTTCTCGTTTTGTCATATAAAGGCTAAATACTCATACTGAAGGTTGAAGATTTATCAACAGTCATCATTTTAATTGCTTCATCACAAACAAAACTGTCCTTTTCACTTTGTATTTTTGTTTGTAAGCCTAGCCTTGAATGACTGAGCCATCACTGTAGGCCCCTTTGCAGCTCTGAAAAGCAGTATTAAAAAACATGGCCAAGCTGGGCGGTGGTGGCACACACCTTTAATCCCAACATTCGGGAGGCAGAGGCAGGCAGATCTCTGAGTTCGAGGCCAGCCTGGTCTACAAGAGCTAGTTCCAGGACAGACTCCAAAGCTACAGAGAAACCCTATCTCAAAAAACAAAAACAAGAAAGAAAGAAAGAAAGAAAGAAAGAAGGAAGGAAGGAAGAAAAAGAAAAACATGGCCAACAAAGACAGTGTCACTGTGTCAGTTTCTGCACAAAGTGTCGTGGTTGTGACTGAAGGGAGGAGAAACACCATTGTGATGGTGTTTCAGTATCCTGTCAAAATAGCTTTGGCCTTGCAACCCCCGAGAGGAAGTAAGCAGAAACCAGGGGCTATTTTCTGTTGCCAGAGTCTACACAGGAAGACCAGAAGAGCTGCAGAACGCAACTTCAAGGGCGGAGGCGAGGCTAGAAGGGGTCAAGAAAAAGCCAAGTCCCTATTCCTTCCTTCAGACCCCACAGCGGTCCCTGCAACCTGAGTCCCCAGAAAGCTAGCATTCCCCTTGAGTGAACAGAACCTGGAGCCCTGGCATCTTCCCATGACACTTTGGGCCTTTTTAGGGTCCCCAGAAAGGCTTGACATCCCTTGTGAGTGGACAACCTGAAGCACTGCTATCCTCGCGTGCACACCTTCGACCTTTTTAGGGAGACAGGTCTTGGGAAGAGTCTACCAGGGGTGCAGGTTCTGGGGGCAGTAGTCAGGAGGATAGTAAAAGCAACACTGTCCAGTGACTACAACCAGACTGGGAATGGATGTTCAAGAGACGATCAGCTCGGATATAGTGGCTCATACTTGTCATCCCTGAACTCAGGAGACCGAGGCAGAAGGTTCTCAAATTTCAAACCAGCCTGGATTACATACCAAGTAGAGACAGGTGTGGAAGTGGGGATAGTAAGTCATATCTGCCGTTTGTCCACACTACATCATAGCGTTCAGCCCCTACATGTAGATTTGAAGCATGATTTCCAACCTGAGGAATAAAAGACCCTTGGAGAAATGGCCGGTGCTAGGAGGCCTGGTATAAATCCTTTGAGGTAAGTCGAAAAACAGCCCCCAAAATTTCCTCACATGAAATTCTCAGAATGCACCAAGCCCGGCCTACAAACCAAATGAAGTCCCCAGAACTTGTGAGTTGTGCTATTTAGAAAAAGCATATTTGCAGCAGGGACTAAGAGTCAGATGAGATTAGATCATCCTGGATCATCTCGAGTGGTCCCTAAATGCCATCCCCAAAATGTCACAGCAGCACATAGTCCTTGTCCACACCCAGAAGACCTAAAGTCAGTGCAAAGACACAGCCACCAGGGAGCTGGGAGAAATGGGGAAAAACAAACACTACAAACCACCGGTTCTTCCCAAATACTCATTTTCCAGTTAGGGGAGTTTCGTTGATGTTGTTTGTTTATTTTCTGGCTCTGAGAATGACATCCAGGACTGGGAACACACTAGTCAGTTCTAGGCCACTGAACTATTTCCTTGGGATCATTATTTCTTCCTTTTCCTTCTTTGTTTTTATTTGAGAGAGGCCCAGGCTGGCCTTGAATTCACCTTGTAGCTGACATTGGTCTCTATCACCCACTTGATCCTCTGGCCTCTGTGTCGCGAGGTCTAGGACTAACACTGTCTTGTCTCTTAAACTGGTGAAAGTTGTTTACATTTATGATGTGTGTTCACCATGTGGATTAGTTAACATTCTTATATAGTTTGTGCATGTGCATTAAAGACACATAAGTTTGGGGTTTATTTATTTATTTATACAATATTCTGTCTGTGTGTATGCCTGCAGGCCAGAAGAGGCACCAGACCCCATTACAGATGGTTGTGAGCCACCATGTGGTTGCTGGGAATTGAACTCAGGACCTTTGGAAGAGCAGGCAATGCTCTTAACCTCTGAGCCATCTCTCCAGCCCCCACTTAAGTTTTTATTACATTTATATATTTATAGTACATCGTACATGCACCACGATGCTTATAGAGGTCAGAAACAGCTAATGGGAGTTGGTTCTCCACCATGTTGGTTTTAACAATCAAACTCAGGTCTTCTGGCTTGCTGGCAAACACTTTACCAGATGAGCCATCTCACTACCCCTATTAAAAGTTATATGAAAAAAGAAAAGAAAAGGAAAGGAAAAGAAAAGAAAAAGGCAGGCAGTGGGATCTGAGTTTGAAGCTAGCCTGGTCCACAGAGCAATTTCCAACACAAGCAGGGCTACACAGAGAATCCCTGTCTTAAAAAAAAAAATTATCGGTTCTGGGCTGGGGAGATAGTTGAGCAAGAAAAGCCCTTCCTGCACAAGCTTGAAGACCAGAGTTTAGATTCTCAGAAATCATGGAAAAGTTTTATGAGTATGACAGCCACTTCTAGTCTAACACAGAAACAAGCGCTCCCCAGATAAGGTGGCTAGAAAAACTAGTTGAAAAGGCAGTCTCAGCTGGGTGGTACTAGCGCATGCCTTTAATTCCAGCACTCAGGAGGCAGAGGCAGGCAGATCTCTGTGAGTTCGAGGCCAGCCTGGTCTACAAGAGCTAGTTCTGGGAGAGGCTCCAAAGCTACAGAGAACCCCTGTCTCGAAAAAAGCAAGAAGAGAGAGAGAGAGAGAGAGAGAGAGAGAGAGAGAGAGAGAGAGAGAGAGAGAGAGAGAGAGAGTAGTCTCTGGTCAGCAAAAGACTTTACCTCAATATACAAGGAAGA